CGCCTGGGTGGCTCAGTCAGATAAGCGTCTGCCTTCGGCTCAGGTCATGATCCCTGCTCAGCGGGGAGTCGGCTTGAGATTCTCTCTCTCTCTCCCTCCCCCTCTGCCCCTCCCCTGTGCTCTCTCTCACTTGCACTCTCCCTCTCTTTCTCAAATAAATACACAAAATCTTAAAAAAAAAAGAGTATCAGCCCCAAGAGGGCAGGAATATTTCTCTGGTTTGTTCACTGCTGGGTTCTCAGTACCCCAGCACACCGCAGTTGCTTCATAATTTCAGTAAGTGAGACAAGAAATAAGACCAAAAAAAAAAAAAAAAATACATCATGCTGGATGGTGCTAAGTGCTAAGGAGAAAACTAAAGAGACAGTGGGTGGTGAGTTTGAGCAGAGGTTTACATTTTAAATAAGGGGGTCTAGAGGCCACCTTAGAGTAAAGACCTGAAAGAGGTGAGGGAGGTTAAATTCTTGCCGCCCCCATCAGACCTAGCCGAAGACCACGGCCTTCTCTTAGGGAGCACGTCTTTCTTGTCCACCCCTGGAATCTCAGCTCCACGCCGGCGCCTGGCACGCGGTAGGCGCCCTCTGAATGGAAGTGGGGTGAAGGAAGGCATCGGGCACGAATGAGGCCAGCCTCCCGTGCACTCACGTCCTGCAGCAGCTTCTCCAGGTTCTCCTGCAATTCGTAGAAGTAGACGGTGGTGATGAGGCCGTCTCGAGACTTGGTCAGGCAGTCCCGGGCCAACTCGATGATCTGGTGGTGGATGAAGCTGAGCACGCCGTCGGCCAGCGGCAGCACGCTGTCAGGTTCGTAGGCGCGGGCGAAATCGCGCAGCTTTTCCTCCATCTGCGCGGTGGCCTGCGGGAGGGACAGAGGCGGGGCGGGGGTGCCGGCGCGGGGCTGCGCCTGGAGGCAGTGGCCACCAGGAGCCTGCGCTGCGCAAGACTTTATTTATTTGGGGCGCCTGGGTGGCTCAGTTGGTTAAGCGACTGCCTTCGGCTCAGGTCATGATCCTGGGGTCCTGGGATCGAGCCCTGCATCAGGCTCCCTGC